GGAGTTACTGCTACTTTGTATCAGGTATATCCCTCTCCTCCCTTTTGGTTTCAGATCTGGTCCGGTTTGGTTCAAGATTGATCATTGAAAATGCAATTTTCTAAAATAGGGAATGCGATTCCCAGATGGGAGAGAGAAAAATTTTTGAAATTTCGTCCATCATTTTTGTAGGGTTCGGCCATCCATATGATGGATCTCTCATCCCTTTAGTAGCCTTCCAAGTATTCTTGCCTCTATGACTCATCCCCAAAATTGACCAAGCTAAGAGCATCTCCCGAACAGATCCTGACATCACTCATGAGAGACCAGTGACTTAAGGAAGTGGGGCCAAATGAAAGATTCTACAGGGCAGTTGTTAAAGATTTGATCCACTGACTCATCTGCCAACCTGCACGGACCGTCCACTGGCTCATTTGCCAACCCACACAGACAACACAATTGATCTTGGATTTGCATACCTCTTCTCAGCAGGTGCATCTTAGTGAGGCATTTCCTAAAATAGCCACCCACACCAAGAAACTGATTTTGGATGGAGTCTCAGCCTTCAATATGGCTTTGTCTGGGAATTGGTCCTCTTCTGGGGACCTGATCCTATCCAGAAAAGACTTAACAGAAAACAAACCATTGCTACTCCATCTCTAATGCCACTGGCCGTCCTGACTCCTGAGAACAGTCAGGGGTCTGATCACTGAGCAGCTATAAGAGTCTTACTACCTCCTCCATCTCCCATCTTGAATATTTCTTTTGAATCTAGGCACCTAGATCAGGATTCCCCCTTCAAACATAAAAGAGTCAACCACAAGAGCTTCTCTATTCTTTGCACATAGAACAAACTGAGGGAAGATCTCCTCCAATGGACTATCATGACACCAAACATCCTTTCAGAGGCTCAGATTTTGCCTGTCCCCCAATTTGAAGTATATGCCTTGAGAGAACCTGTTATAAGTTTTCATGACCCCTTCCCAAGGGGATTATCCAAGCAATGGTCTGGGTCTTCAATGGCCCAATTACCCCTTCTCATCCAAAACTTTTCAGCAATTAAGTACCTTCACCACCCATCTGTTTCCACCCCAAAATGCCACATGCCACATCTACTTTGTCTCTTTACTAAGTCCTTCCAAGTTATCACCCAGAAAAAAAGATGTTCTAAAGACCTACGAAAGCACCACCGAAACCTGATACCAATCAGGTGAGCCCAAAGGGCTGTAGTAACATGGTAGTGAATAAAAAGATAGTTCGGAGCTTCAAGCAAGTTAGAAATAGTACACAGTCCATATTAACTTGCTGATAAAGTCTCCTTCTGATTGTAAATGCAGACCTGGGATCAAATCACGCCTTCATTAGGGTTGGAGGTGTTTTGGGATTTGAGGAATGGGCCACCCACATTGTATATTGGGAAAACCCGCTGCTGTGGAGGTTTTGCTCAACTTGACAGGGACTGTCAGTGGGAAACTGATCATTAAAGCAATCATGTTTTGATCTTTAGAAAGTAGATCTACTACTTAATTGCTTAATTAAAATATAGAATTATAAGGTAATTCATTTGATGCTATGAAATATTATTTCAATGAGCCAGACAGCACATGCTTGTGGTATATTCTTGCTTTGGTGTTCTTGCATCTTTTATTTATGGACCACATTCTTTGCCATGTAAGTAGGTGGGTTTACTACTAATAGTTACAGAATAAAAACATATAAAAAGGCCATTACCTGATGTTGGTCCCAACTATCTGGAGTCTTGAGAGGGAATTCATTGGATGACACAAAGCATTATATTGATGAGCAAGATAACTTATGTTTGTGATCTATTCTTGCTTTGATGGTTTTGCATCTGCTACTTTGTACCATTACCGTATTCTATACGGTGGCAATGCATTGACACTCCTCATTCCATTACTTTAAGTAGTCCGTGTTATTGTTTCTTTCCTCTTGTACTTAAATGTCTGCTCCTGTTTCCTTGTTCATTAGGAATAAGGAGATTTTATAATCCATTTTTTATGTGAACTAATCATTTTCTTAAAATCATCGACAGGTATCATCCTGACAAAAATGGAAGCAATCCTCAAGCTTCAGAACTCTTCAAAGAAGTTGCTTTTTCTTATAATATCTTATCTGATCCAGAGAAAAGAAGACAATATGATAGTGCTGGGTTTGAGGTGGACACCTTCCCTCTTTCCTTGCCTTTTTTTTTTCATATTTGTGTTTTTAAAAATATGCAATGCTACTGTTATTACTTGAAATGTTCAGTAATCAAGTGAATATTCAAAGCAATGATCTTTCCTTAATCCTAGGCCAATTTTTCCATCAATTATCTCCCAAAAGCTCTCTGTGTTTTTTTTTTTTTTTAATCAGAAACAAGTACTTTTATTAATTGTTATAAAAGATTGGATGTATAAACAAGAAGTACTAAGCACCCCTAGAATGGTCCAACATTTCAACCTACCTCTTCCCTTTCCCCAAAAATAGATATTGAATTTACAAAATGCTCTGTCGCCCCAGAACATTTGAACTTTGTTAACTGTTTAGCCCTTGCCTTGCCATTGCATATTCCACTAAGTTTGCTGATCCTTCAGTCCATGAGTAATTAGTTCCTATTTTCATTTTTTTTGGATCAATAACAACAGCTTCATTAATTTTAAAAGAAAAGAGGGATTATGGATACAAGAGGGGAGATAAAATATCTTAAGCTCCTCAAAAACAGAATACAAAGGGAATACAAAGAGAAAAAATTAAAGACAAGCCCAAAAGACAGACTCCCTATTCACCCCTTGCTTGGCCAGCCCATCCGCAAATGAGTTGGCACTCCTCTTCACCCAACTGTATTGTATCTCAATGTCCCTGCACCGCCATAAGAACTGCTTCTTTTCATTGTTATAGTTCCACAATCCGCTGTCCTCTTTCTTCAGCCAGCTAATCACCACCTTTGAATCACCTTTCAGGATCAAACGGCTGATTAGCTCCTATTTTCATTCCTAGCTGTTCAATTTCTCTTATAACATTTCTGTGCTTCCATGAATCTTGGAACCACTTCTCAGCCACCCTGTGACCACTTTAATCTCCCTCCACCTCTAATCCTCCAATGTTGAGTGATCCATTCAACCTCAAGCCCCGGAGCACATCAAGCACTTCAGATCTCAGAAACTCACCATTTCCAATTTCCCTGGGTGGATAACAATGAATGAACCATTGATATTTTGAAATACACTGCCCACACTTGAAGGCCCAGGGTTCCAATGCTGCATCCATCAAAGTTTAGCTTGATTTGGGTATATGGAGGAGGAATCCAACTCTTAGAGAATGTAGTTCTGGTGATGGTGGTGGATGCCATGTGTTTCCAGCCTCTACCAATATCACTTTTAGAGAAACCATCAAATAGGTTTAGGGATTTGATTTGATGAACTACTTTAATCTTTTTGTTTTTTTTGTTTTTTTAATTTTTTTTGAAATTTGTCTTTCTTGGATCTACTCATCTTGAAAATCATTTTTTTTCCCCTTCTCATTATCATCTATAAAATTGCTTCCTTCATGCATCTCCACATTATTCACCCCCTCTTACTTGGAAGGGTGAAGAAAGACAACTTGAAAAGATTCTCCACATCCGCTGGTGGTTCCACTTGAAAACTGCTGATATAGAGAAAAACAAATGTTGAATACTAGAAGTAAAAAGGAGGCTGTGCTGAGATGAATAGGTGGTAGGTGGTTTCTTCACTTGCATTGTACAAAAACCACATCTGGGGGGACAAGCAAAAAAAGCCCTAATTTTTTGGGAATAGTCTACACCAAACTTCTTTGGCTAGGATAACTAGTGGTGAGTGAGGTAGAAGTGGTAGTCAAGGCATAAAAAAACGAAGCAAATGTAAAGGAGCCAGAGGAAGTTAAGTTCCAAATTCTCGTATCTGGTTTGGAGAAATGCAAGAAAACCCCTTAAAGAAGATGAAGTAAGTGCAGCAGTTATGGTCCCCTTAAGTTTGGAACCCGAATTTTGAGGGACTAAAAGCAAGCAATAGTATGGATACCATTAAATCTCTAAGAGTTCTGGGAGTGATTTCTATAGTATCCTTATAATTGGTAATAAGGTTTGTGAAATAACTTTAATTTTTTAAAATGCTCATTAATAACAATTGGTAGATTAATTTTAAAAATTCAATAATTTTTGCTGGTAGCTTTTGTCTATACTGACTTGGCTAGTATTTGATGGATAATAGTATGCATTTAAGTCATACTCATGGATACCATTAAATCTTTAAGAGTTCTGGGAGTGATTTCTATAGTATCCTTATAATTGGTAATAAGGTTTGTGAAATAACTTCAATTTTTTAAAATGCTCATTAATAACAATTGGTAGATTAATTGAAAAAATTCAATAATTTTTGCTGGTAGCTTTTGTTTATACTGRCTTGGCTAGTATTTGATGGATAATAGTATGCATTGAAGTCATACTCAGTGAAGGTTGTGAACTTGTAATTTTGTCTATAGCATGCTTCTCTAGTTCTGTTCTTTTATGATCATGTGGAGTTGTTTTCTTGACACCCATAGACATTCTGTTAGAAATAAATGGAGGAGAGGGGAAGACAATAGAAAACAAACTAGGCGGCATATAGACAACTGTAACAACTAAATGTAGGTCCTTTCTTCTGTGTATTAGATAGCATCTTTTCCTTAACCAGAGTCAGCTTCTTGTTCTTCTAGTTTTTTAAAGTTATACCTCTCTGTTTATCATTGTCATTTATGTTCACTTTAAATTCTGCCATTGTGAGCTTGTCTTACACTTCCGTTCCCAAGCCCCAGATAGAGGAGGGTGTGTCAGGTTGGCAGCTGGCACTATAACTTTTGCCAAACTCTCATGAAGCCAACCCCATTTAGTTGGGATAAGGCATGAATGATGATGATGATTTATGTGCACTTTGGGTTTTCAATCTTTTCAGGTTGCAGGATAATTTGGGCTTACAATAACCCTTTTGGTGAATCTGACTTGACTCAACTTTAGGTAATTGTGCTACTTCAGGTGCTAGTGCTAAGCACCTAACACTGTTTTTCCTTGTTGTGGAAGCATGCCATTAATTAATGTAGAGGTATTGGCAGATGTCCTTGGAGACTCAGTAATTTAAATTAAGCCAGGGAGATCAGCTCTCCAATTTCAGCCTTCAATCTTCATTTGATGGATCCAGGAAATTAATTTATTTGACGGCCTACAAAAGCGGATGTGGTTAGTTTATTTATTTATCTATAGTGAAAGTTCTATGCATGAGGTTATTCTTTTGGGTGGGGGATGGGGCTGTATGGTCTTTCTTTTTGAACACAGTTCTACAACCTATCAACATACACTTTTTCATATGATATATTTCATATTCTGGTTCTTTTTCTCAGGAAATAAAGGTTAGTAATTATAATTAGTGTTATTGCAAGTCTGCGTTGAATTTTACTTCTCACAGCTGTTTATTTATGCATATGATAAACCACACTATTATGAGTTCTAGATACTTTTGTGTATGATTATTTGTTTTTAAGATTATTTGCTGGTTTGCATCCTTTTGGATGTTTTTTTTTTTTGGTGTATATACTACATTGCTTAACTAATTGGTTATTTATTTCTTGGAAATTTTGACACCACTGATTGGTTTTGCTTCTGATACTATGTTATCTCAGGCTTTAGATAATGAAGGCATGGATATGGAAATTGACTTATCCAATCTGGGAACTGTGAATACAATGTTTGCAGCCCTATTCAGGTGATACTCAGTTGAAAATTTAGCAGCTTTTATTTTCTTGATGTTCTCATATGGCAACTGATCCTTTATTTATTTAGCAAGCTGGGTGTCCCTATAAAGACTACAGTTTCTGCTAATGTTCTTGAAGATGCATTGAATGGAGCCGTCACAATTAGACCTCTTCCTATTGGAGCAGCTGTCAGTGGAAAGGTGCTTATCTTTCACATTCAGGGATAGAGCTTCCCTCTTTCCAAAGCTTTTCATTTTTTACTTTTGAGTGCAGGTAGACAAACAATGCGCCCATTTCTTTGGCGTAACAATTAATGAACAACAAGCTCAGGCAGGGATTGTAGTTAGAGTTACTTCAGCTACACAGAGCAAATTTAAGGTACTATTGTTTGGAAAGGGCTTTCATTAGCACACCTGTCTATACTTTCTAGTCTGTTATTCTGGTTCTTTCTCTGGTTTCTTCACCATAATATGTTTTTGACTCTTGACCCTAAAACTTTTATCTGCAATACATGTTTTTTCTTTCAGCTTCTATATTTCGAACAAGATCCCAGTGGTGGTTATGGGTTGGTTCTGCAGGTACCTCGCTATTTGTTTTCATGCCTTTTTATCAGCATTTGATGCATTTGCATTTGAACTTTCCATCATTCATCTACTGAACAAGAAGAAAATGGATGCTTGTTTCATTTTTTTTCCTAGACATTTAACTATACTTTCATTAACTGAACTGTAAAGGGATACAAAAGATTCATCCATCTACACAAGATTCTGTATACTGTTATTGTACATCATATAATATTAGCTTATAAACAGATTATCGCAATCATAATAAAAAAAGAAGCATTGAAAGGTATTCCTTCAAGAGCTTGGTGTCAGCCATGAGAACAGGGTATCCACTACTCTGTTCCTAGTTACCTCCTCTGGACTGAAGATGTTTTCAAAGATACAAGCACTTCTCTCCCTCCAGATGTTAAAAATAATAATTGCTGGTACAGTCTACCATATATAGCCTTGCCCTTTTTACTCACCCTTTCAGATTCAGCAATGCAAAAGAACTTCCAAGGTTGGTGGAAAGCATCCTTTCAACCCAAAACTTTTAATATATTTGGTCCACAATATATGCCATCATACAATGCATAAATAGGTGATCAGCAGTCTCCACTTCTGCAGAGCGCATGATACACTGCATTGAATCTAACATCATCCCTTTCCTGTTATGTTCTTCATCAAACACTTCCCTAACACTGCTGTTGATATGAGGAATGCCACCTTAGAAGGAATCTGAGATATCACAAACAGGCAGATCTTCGTGTAAGGATTTGAATAGTGATTTAACTGTAAAGACCCCAGGTTCTTGCCATCTCCAGATTATCCTGTTGATATAATATGGGCTATACTGAATCGTTGATAGCATTTCCACCATCCAATCATTCAAAGTTTTTCTTAGCCTGGGATTCTACATAACGTCCTCATTGTGTGCACCAGAGCATCATTCAGCGAGTAATGTTTCTTTTGTTTCTGCAACATGTTTTGCTTTCTTTAGAACAAATTATTGCAAAAGAATCTGGTGATCAAAAAGAAAAAACATTGATAACAAAAATCATTTATCAACCACAATTGATAGTGGAATCTATTGATCAGCCATGACTACTCATACTCTTGACATTCCTTTGAGAGTAAAGAGAGCCATTGTCATTCTATTCTACTTTTTATAATCTGATCTGATTGCTATAATAGACTAAAATCAATGGTATTTTGGGAGCAAAACTGAATGGGTCGTGTGTTGCACCCTTTTCATTATAAGAGAGCTTACAATAAAGGATTAAATAACAAATCTGCCCATATGGGCAGCAGCATTAAGGAGAGCAATAAAAGATAAAAAATAATGATGCACATCAAGGGCCCAGTCCCATATAACAACTACAATAAAAGATACATAAAAACAGCTCACATTTTAACACCAACTATTAAGCTGAGCATATAAATTGATCAAGCCCAGGTTACCTACACAATGATCAATTTTCATCTTGTTGGCTTCTTTTGTGAATATATCAGCTAGCTGGCCATATGTAATGACATAAGGAAGAAAAGTTTCTGCAAATATACTTTATATGCTCTTCGTTGAGGTGCCTATCAACCTCTATGTATTTCTGTCTATCATGCTAAACTGGGTTATGGACTATATTTGTGGCTACTTGATTATCATAATAAAGCTGTATAAGTTATCATAAGATATCCCTAATTCTTTTAGCAAAGATTGCATACACAATATCTTTGAAACTTTATGTGCCACAACCCAATACTCTACCTCAACACTTGATTAGGTAACAATTGGTTGCTTCTTGCTCTTCCATGAAACAAGATAGCTTGTAATTATAGTAACTTGATGCGGATCTCTTGTTATCTATTGATCCAATCATTTTTTTTTTTGATAAATGAACAATGATTTTATTAATAAGAAAAGGAAATGTACATTCACCCTAAAAGGGGGCATCACCAAACTCTTAACAGAATACAATCTTAAGGTAGCCCAAAATAATTCAACTCTTGAGACCCCTTGTTTAGCCAAAGAATCATCCATAGCATTTGCTAATCTGCTAACCCATTGAAAGCTAACTGGCATATTCCTTGTGAGCCAATTAACTTTCTTAAGAAAATCCCTGCAGCAGAAAACTGTTTTTGGATTCTACAACCAACCCACTACCACCTTAGAGTCTCCCGCAACAATCAAATTTTCCACTCCTAGTTGGTTGGCAACTTGTACTCCTTGTACTGCAGTCAGTATCTCAGCCCTTGTAGAATCACCAGCTCCCACTGGTCCTGAAAATAGGGATAGAATGTTGCTATCCTTATATCTTAAGATCCCTCATATACCCGAGGGTCCTGGATTACCTTGACTGCTACCATCAAAGTTCAGTTTTGCCACACCCTTTGTAGGAGGTCTCCAGTCTACTTGTAGTCTATTCTTTTTTGGGGCTGTGAAGGCCACCTCTGCCCAACTTTTCCAAAGATCATCAAAGGAATAATCTCTAAACAAATCTGAAGTTTTTAGCTGAATTGTCCTTGTCAAAATACACTCTTTACTTCATCGATGCTTCTTTCCTTTTCTTGGAATATTCTAACATTCCTCTCCTCCCAAATAGTCCACAAAAAGGCTGCTCTGATGCACTTCCACATCAATTTCCCTCTCTTAGTTGGCCACCCAAAAGTAGATGGGTCAAAAAGCAAGTTTATTTCAGAGGGCAAGTTCCATCTGCACCCAAACAACATAAATAACCAATTTCAAATATTAGCAGCAAATGCACAAGATAACAAGTGGTAGTAGTCCTCATTATGCACTTTATACAGAATACACCAGTTTGGGGACAAACAATGATAAGGTCTCTTCTTTTGCAGTTTATCCATAGTATTGATCCAATCAACTTTGCATTTAGAGATCCTTCTATTTTCATATAGGCATGATTAGAATATAAAACATTAATACTGGGCAGTCTTTCAAGTATGCAAGTATCATTTCTGCAGCATCCAAATGCGTATCTTTGGATGAGTGCATATATTAACTTGTAACACTTTTTTTGAAGATAAAGTGAAAATTCATTAAATAAGAAAGGGGAAGATTACAATGTAGCAGGGTGGTAAGGCATTTCTCGCAACTCAGACAAAAACATAAAAGTTCTACTGGGGAACAGATTTACAGAGAACTATCCAAGTTACAGAGTTGAAGACCAAAATATCTCCCAAATTGCCCTCCATGTCCTCCCTAGAGACTTGATTAAATTCTGGAGTTAATATAAGCCATTCTGCAACCGAATTGCTGACAGCTGCCACAATCTTGTCCACTCCTCTAAGATCTGAGTGGACTATGAGACAGTCTCTTAGAGAGGAAGGAGAAATTACTCTAAACTTTGATGGTAGTGCCCAAGGATCCACAGGTCAAGCAGGAATTGGAGGTGTAATATGAGGGGAAAGGGGGAATATTTGCTGGGCTTACAGTGGTCCGATTGGGAGGGCAGATGCCACAAAGGCAGAGGTCCTGGCTGCACTCAAAGGAATTTGCCTTGCCAAATGGCTAGGTTTATCCTCTTTAACCATTAAAGGGGATTCTGCAAATACTATAGTTTGGTTACAGGAGAAGGGAGGGCCCTGGAGACTAGCTCACTTCTTAGCTGAAGCCAGGGATATCTTAGGCTCTATGAATGTGAAGCTGGTCTGGATTCCTAGGGAGCAAAATTTTGTTGCTGATATCCTAGTAAAATCAGGGGTCTCTAGAGATTTCTTGTTTAGTGACAGTTGTTTGCCTTTGTAATCCTGCCAAGCCACTCTTGGCTTCAGTACATCCTCTCATGTACTTCTGTTTTTTCTTCTTCAATAAAAAGCAACCTTTGCTTCAAAAAAAAAAAAATCTTCTATTTCTTTCCTTCCATATGTTCCAACAGATTGTGAACAGGATACAGCTCCAAGCCGTTCTTGCTTTCTCGCTACATCTTAACTTTGGCCATGTAGAAGAATTTCTGCAGCAGAATCTGGCGAAAAGTTTGAGAACCTAAGCATAGAAGTAAATATCCTCCACAAAAACTAAGCTATCTTTGCATGAGGAGAATAGATGACCAATAGTTATCCTCCTGTTCTTTGCAGAGGAAACACATATTAGCCATATGCTGTCCATGGCCACCAGCTAGGGGTGCAAATGGATCGGATCCTGATCTGATCTGATTCGAATCTGATCCTATTTTTGTCAGATTCTGATCACCCTCTATCGGACTCTCGGGTAAGATTGGATTGGATAATAGGATCCGATTGAAAATCGGGTCGAGTTTGGATCACCCCAATCTGATCTGACTTCTGCCCTATATATATATATATATATATATATATTTATAAACACATTTACTTATAAAATGACATGTATATATTAATATATTTATTGGCATATTTATTTATAAATATGTTTATATTGCATTTTTGTAAATTTTTTATAAAAAGGCATGTATGTATTAATATATATGATGAAAATAGTTGAAAAAATACTTATCTTTTTTGTTTTTCTTTATATAACTTGTTACGTTTTTTCTTTTAATAATTTATTAAAATTTTCAGAATTTGAATTGGATTGGATCATATTCAGATGTCTGACATCCTTAACGGATTTGGATTCGAATAATCATTTGTGAGATCTGATCAAATATTCAGATTGGATCGGATTTCTGATATGTGCTAACGGATCAGATTTAGGTATGCCTTGATTCGAATCTGATCCGATCCGTTTGCATCCTTACCACCAGCCAAGCAAACACTTCAACCCTTGGAGGCTCCGGATTTCGCCGAACAACATCTACCTGAATTGGATCTGAAATATTTCTGATAAGAGCCATGTAACATGATTTTACAGAGACTGGATATAACAACCTACAAACTAGTCTTTGGGACATGCCCCGATCCTTAAGCAACTCTCCAACAGTTGTAGAATGTCTATGGTTAGGATCAATAGGTGTGTCTACAGGCTTAACATGCTGATTATCTGTATGTTTCAACAAGTCCAACACAGACTTCCTTTGGAAAATAAATATGCCATGTCTTGA